ATTATCAATGGTGCAATACTAGTCCTCCGCCATGAAAATGTGTGCATGATAAGGTAGCATTTCAGACAAAGCGAAGTTTATCCCTTGCAATCATACGCCTATCAAATTTCAACCAAAGAAAAATACCAATCACACGCATCAATAAAAATATTCTCAACCAAGAGCTCTCCATCAAGTAAAATCAACACAAAGAATTCTTTTTGGGTAAGAAAATGGGTCATATGAATAAGTGACGGTCATATAATTAAGTGACCCTCATGCTTAATTTTTCCCAACTTCTCTTTATTTAGCCACGCACCTATATCCAAACATAACAATCCACAAAGACAAGCTCAAAGTAGAAAATAGGGAGCTCATTATTGAAATAAAAAGGGTAAATAAAAGCAAGTAAAGCTTGGATTTCCTCCCAAAAAGTGTTTCTTTAACGCCATTAGCTTGACGGATTTTTTAAAAAAGAAACTCCTTTAAGTGCTTCTCGAGGAAAATACCCTTTGAGCGTTTGAAGTTGTGAGGAAGCACAAACAACTTCAAATTCTTACCTAGAAACACCCCCTTTTGCTTAGAAAGAGTGGTAGGTAAGGGGGTGGTGTTCGTGAGAGTAAAGGATGGGTGAAAAGTTAAAATATGAACCCTATCATGACCCATGGTGCAATGAGGAAGAAAGTATTATCCCGGCTTAAAAGGGAAGCTTAGCCAATGAGGATGCATATTAATGAAAGTGTTGCTAGGCTTATGCAAATGAAAGAGAGAGTAGGAAAGTACAAACCGAAGGTTGGATCTAAAAGAACTCCGGACTCCCCAAGGCTAATGATGACTCTACAAATAAGCCTCCCTTGATCTCCAATCATAGCTTAGGAGGAGCCTTTTGAAATAGAAGCCCGAGCTCATTCCCTAAGTGGCTCCTCCATGGTCTCACTCAAGTTGGTTCTCTCCAACACCGGTTCAATGATGTTGTCACTCTCTTTGTTTCCCTCCAATTTAATGTTACTTCCCAACACCACAAACTCCTCACCTTTATCAATGATGATCTCCAAGTACTCCTCAACTGCCATTTCCTTTTCTATTTGTCCCACCAACTCTGCACTTTTATAAGGATTGAAAGTGAGTGTTTGGAGAGTGTAGTAAGGATCGAGGGTGGGTAATATGGGTTACGAAATGGATAAGCTTGGGGCCAGCCAACACATTGACCATTGAAGTAAGCAGAAGGATATGGTAAGGTTGGAGGATTTATGGGTAAAATAGGTTTAGAAGTTGGGTATGGATTAGGATTCGATATGGGTCTTTAGTTTGACGAAGGGAAGCTTGAGAAGCTTTAGATATGGCCGGGTCAAGAGGTATGGACTCCAAGTCATCAAGTGAATACTCAAATCTTGGAATGGTTGGATCAAGGGAAAGACTTTGAGCGTAGAGCTCATGCTCTAGACAAAGATCATCAATGATAGAACTAATGTCATAGTCCTCCATGGTTGTACCACCTACGAGGTAAGAAGTGAAAGTTGGTTTACACCCTAAGAGGGGGGTGAATTAGGGTGTTTGAAAGTTTTTCGTAAAAAACAAAAACTTATGCGCAAAGTAATAGCGGGAAAGGAGCAAGAAAAGTATAAAAAATAAAAGTACGACACAAGCGATTTTATACTGGTTCGGGAACTCCCTACTCCAGTACCTCGAGGCTCCTCCTCAAGGATTTAACCTCCACTAATTTGTTTGGCTTCACTAAGAAGACTCAAACGAGGTTTGGCAAACAACCCTGTTAGAATAAGTTACCAACGCTAGAGGGGGGGTGAATTGCGTTTGATCGTAGAAATCGCAGGAATAAAAAATTAAGAACGTGAAAAGTAAAGAGCGTAGAAAAAGTAAAGGGAGCACACCAAGATTTATACTAGTTCACCACAACGTGTGGCTAATACAGTCTCCCGAGAGACTCTCTCGAGCTACACTACTTCCGTTAAGCTTACGGGTGCTTAACAAACCGTTACAACTTGAGAACTCGAGTCCCACGAGCCTCAACAACACTTGCTCGGAGATACCACACTCCAAGACTTCAACCCGAAGGAAAAACACCTTTCCTTTGTACAACCAAGGGAAACAAACTTCCGTTAACGTCTAAAAACACTAAGAACATTCAAGAACAAGGCTCTCTCAAAAGAGTGAATATGAGTAAAGTAATACGCTCAAGATCACAACACGAAAAGCTATGAATAATGTATGAATGATATGCAATGAAAGAATAAGAGTTGTGAAGTAATGTGATTATGTAAAACAGACCCAAACACCCCATTTTATAGTTCCAAAATAGGCTCCAACGGATAAAAACATTTAAGGGGTGATTGGCTTGATTTGTGGGATTTGATTGAAATTGGATCTGCTGAAAATCAGCCAGAAAGCGCTGTCCATGGCTTGGACATCGCTGTTCTAGGCTTAGTTTTTGAAAAATGGGAAGCAACGGTCGAGCCAACAGCGATGTCCAAAACCTAAACATCGCTGTTTTGGCTTTTGACTTCCAAACAAGGAAAGTTTTAGCCATAAATTCCTTCCAAGGGTCAGGTGCCTACATCGATGTTCATTACTTGAACATCGCTGTTCAGGCCTGACTTTGAAGGTTGCGGAATTCGCCTGACATCGCTGTTGCTAGGTCAACAGCGCTGTCCAAAAACTTTCTGCCAAGGCATTTGTTTTTGGCTTAGGTTGGACAGCGATGTAGGGAGGTCTACATCGCTGTTCCAGATGTTTCTGGAAACCCAACCTTGGCTTCAACATCGATGTCTAAACACCAACATCGCCATTGGAAGACTTAACACCAAACCATGGTTTTCAGCTACCCATGCCGGACAGCACTGTTGGGTACGCCAACATCGCTGTTGGGCTGGTTTAGCCAGACCCATGGTTGGTTTAGTAATGCCGTTAGCCGATGTCAAAAATGTAAGTTCTCCAAAATAGAAACCAAGTATTGAAAACATTTGTTTAATGGATTTTGCTAAGAAATCAAGTAAAACATCTTAAAAACCACGGCTAGCCAAGTTTGCGCCGTTTCGCATGGTTTTTACTAAATGACCAAAAACGAAAGGTGGTTTTTGAAGCGTTTTGGTTGGAGAAATATTTAAATATGACCAGAAGTAAAAACAGATCATAAAATTTTGAAAACCACTTGGTTGGTTCGGACGCCAAAAACGAACGCCGATAACCGAATGCCGAACGCCGGTTTCTGAAAGCCGAACGCCGGATGGCTTGGTTTTTGGTTTGGGCGAACACCAAGTGTTTTAGGCTTGTTTAAAACTTTTGAAAAACATTTTTGAACATGCAAAAGAGTATTTTAATGGAGTAGCCTAGAGAGCAAAGTTTTGAAGTTTGTGCCGGTCCTGATCACATTAAGACCGACTCAATAAATTCTAAGTCTTCGTTCTTGGTTCTTGGTTATCAATACGTCATGCCATGTTCCTTCGCCTTTGATCTTCTCAGGTTCGTGTTCTTGTCACAGTGGTTTGGCATTATCAAAATCTGTCATAAAACGAACACGGTTTAGTACGACATAGGCGTAAACCCGTGTTCCAACAAACCCTTGCCAATAAGCAAACGAGATTTTACTATGGCTATCTCAACCGTTTACAACTGAAGATTTTAAGGCTATCTTCAACCTTACAATGAGGATTTAAAGGCTATCCACACCTTTTACAAATCAATAAAGGATTGATGTTGCTTCTCTACCAATATGATAACAAATATGAATTGGGTAGGAGAAGAACAAAAGATTAAATCAACAACAAAAGCCTATAGGCAAGATATAAAACAATGAATCACAAATGCCCTTATGTGTGAGTGTATAAAAATAATGAAAGCTTTATACTCAAAAGAGTAAGAAAAATAAGAACAAAGCTTTAAGGAACACTCAAGAATAGAGAACGAGGCTTTAGATATAATTGGGAAGTTGTTGTGTATAAAATGAGACTTAGAGGGGGTTTATATAGGAGTTTGGAAGGTTAAAATATGAGTTTTTAACGTTAAATTCCGTTAGGGAGTGATTTGGGGTGATTTGAATTTAAATTGGCAATTTGCTACAGTGTTAATAACGGATACGGTACTCTTCACGATAGGGTCAGTACTGTTCGGTACCTAGGTACCATGACCACGGTACAGCCTACCGCTAAGGGGTACCGTGTAGGCCTAAAACTTGGTTCGGCTCTGGCGGTACCTAGGTTCAAACGATTTGGCCAACTGTCCCAAGCCTACCGACGGTACCCAGGTACCGTTACCACGGTAGGGGGGTACCGTGTACCACCCAGGTGAAACGTATAACGGTACGTTCACTTGGCTACCGACGGTACCCTGGTGCCGTGTACACGGTATCCAGGTACCGTTAGACCTGTGATATTTTCCAAAACTCGTTTTTGTGTTCCGTTTTCAAAATAACCCCAACTAAGTATATATTTGACATTTTAAAATAAGTAAATCATTAAAATATATCGTTACCTTTACACAAATATTTCTAAGCTTGTAGGAGTACATCTCGGTGATGCTAATCAAGCTAATAGAGGTTTGGCGTTTGGTTTATTCCTGCAAATAAGGTTAGTAGCATTTTGAAGACTTATTTGGCACATCAAAACGTTTACGGGGTACGACATTCAAGGCCAACAATCTCCCCCTTTTTGATGTTGACAAATAAGGCTTTCGAATATAATAAGCAAACACACAAAAATATCGTGAAAAGCATATTTCAATTTTAAAACTCCCCCTAAGTTGATGTACGTGAGATTTTGACAAAACTCCCCCTAAATGTATGCATATGAAAGCCTAATATTTCTCCCCCTTTTGGCAACATTCAAAAAGGCGGGGTACGAAAAGTGTAAGTTGCAACACATAGGCATTTACCAAGGCAACTTTATAAGCATTGAAGTAAACCATAAGCATCAGGAAACCATAAGAAATCAAAACATAAGCATAATCAGAACAAAGGGGTTTGAGTCATACAAGTGCATAAATATGAGTTTGAAACATAAGACAAGACAAAAGGTTTTGAAACTTTAATCAAAATACATAATTGTTTTTAAAACATAAGAGAGATAATGTTTGATCACTTTGTCAAATGCTCAACACTTAGCCACGTCTAGAAGCACGATCCTCTTGTTGCTTTCGGCGAGCCTCACGCTCCTCCATTTTCTTCATGCGATCCGAGAGGTCATCGAGACTCTCTTGAAGTTTCCTCATCGGAGCCACCACACTCTTGAGAATGAATTTCTTGAACTTCTTGAAGGGATTTTTGGAAGTGGAGGCCATGTGGGAATGACGATGCAAGAGAGAGGCCGAGGAAGCATGAGACGCCGACTTGGAGCGTTTGATCCTAGGAGCACGAACGGGAACCTCCGTGGTGTTATTTGCTTCGGCATCGGGTGCTTGAGAAGTGAAAGGCAAGGATGACATAGATCGTCGAGGGCCATACTCCGCTCGTGTTGCCGCATCAAGCTTTTGGAATTCCTTCTTCATGTAGTATTCCTCTCCGATCTTTATGAGGCCACAATACCCAAGGCACTCCGTGTCAAGATATCGGACGCGGGAAGGACGCACCTCAAGAATGCCTTGTTTGGCAAAGATGTGAGTAAGGAGCATGCCGTAGGGTTTGTTTTGGCGACCGGAGCACTCGTACATGTGTTGAATGATGATGGAAGGGAGATTGATTTTCTTGCGAGTGAGGAGGAGGTATAGGAGAGTGTATTCATAATTCCCGACTTGTTTATCCTTGTTAAGGACGGGAATGACATTTTCTTTGAGGATTTTTAGTAGAATGAACCTATTTGCGGTCAAGTCTTGGGTCCTCAAAAACATGGTCAAAGGCAATATTGTTGAGAACACGGAGGCAAAAATCGGAGTTAAAGTCTTGGGATTCAGAAATCCACCCCTTTTTGCAATAGGGGGAGACTCCTTGACGCTCTAGGTGGAACCATTCGGAAAGGTTTTGAGTGTTGAATCCGAAGGTTTTGCTGGCAACAACGGGGTAATGGAAGGGTCTTGTTTATGGTATCGCAATGAGGAATAAAATTGATGAACAAGTTCCGGGTAAACGGGGGCTTGGAGTTGAAGAAAAAAACTCCACCCTTGTTCATGAATAAGTTCAAGAACGGCAACGGGGATGTCATCTTGCTTAAGGGTTCTTCCCTCAATGATTTGTGGGTCAGCGTAAGCCTTGAACCCGGCTTGAACATCGGTTTGAACATCGGAAACATTTTCACTCATTTTGGGAGAATTTGAGAAAATGGTAATTTTTGGGAGAAAATGAGAAAATTGATACCAAATACACAAATTTAAGAGAGTATATGAAGAAATTTATGAATTGAAGCTAATTGATGATAAAATTGATGAGATTTGGATGAAAGATTACCTTTGGATTGTCTTACGGTAGAGAGGAGACAAGAGAGAGGTCGACGGGAGAGAAAAAAAGGCTGCAGATGCCGAGAATGTGCTGGTCTAGGGTTTTTAAAAAGGTTTGACCCGAAGAGACGGTCGGTACCTCGGTACCGTTCCCACGGTATCCGGGTACCGTACCAACGGTAGGGTATATCGTTCCAAGCTACCATGAAAGGTGTAAACTTCAATCTTCTCTGCCGGTATCTGCGTCCAAACGGCACTAGGGTACCGTGTTAACGATAGGCCCCACCGTGAAGGCGGTACCGGGTACCACCAAGGATACCGTGCCCTTGCTTTGAGTTTTTGTATCGACCTCTAGACGCGTGTTTTGAGCATTTGGACTTGATCAATTAATTTTTAAGTGGTAATGGGATAATAAGAACCTTAAATTCACTTTAATTCAAGCATTCCCATTTCCCGACAAATATGTAAAAATTGTTTTTCATCCAAGGGTTTTGTAAAAATTTCGGCCCGTTGTTTAAGTGTATTGGCATATTCAATTTGAATATCTCCCTTTGCAACATGATCACATATGGAATGATGTCTTATTTCTATATGTTTATTCCTAGAATGCAACACGGGATTTTTGGAAATATTTATTGCACTCGAATTGTCACAAAAGATTGGCACTTTTGAAAATTTTAAGTTAAAGTCACTAAGTGTTTGCATCATCCATAAAATTTGAGCAACACAACTACCCATAGCCACATATTCCGCTTCGGCGGTGGATAGGGCGACGGAGTGTTGTTTCTTAGATGACCAAGACACTAGTGCATGACCTATGAATTGACATGTGGCACTTTTGCTTTTCCGATCAATACGACACCCTCCAAAGTCCGCATCACTAAAACCTATCAAGCTTAAATTCGTATTCTTGGGATACCATAAACCCATATTGGTCGTTCCCTTGACAGCGTTTAGATGTGATTCTTTGGGTGATGATTGGAAACGTGCACAAAGGAAAACGGAAAACATTATATCGGGTCTAGATGCAGTTAAGTAAAGCAAACTTACAATCATACCTCGATATACCTTTTCGCTTACGGGTTTTCTGCTTTTGTCGTTGTCAAGCTTCAATGATGTGCTCATTGGAGTCGGGTATGTCTTTGAGTCTTCAAGGTTGAATTTCTTGACTAATTCTTTGGCATACTTGGTTTGGCTAATGAAGATGCCATCTCCAAGTTGCTTGATTTGAAGTACAAGGAAGAAATTCAACTCACCCATCATGCTCATTTCAAATTCACTTGTCATAATTCCTGAAAATTCATTACATAGGGCTTCATTAGTTGACCCAAAAATAATATCATCAACATAAATTTGCACAATGATAAGATCTTTTCTTTTTGTTTTGACAAAAAGTATGGAATCGATCTTTCCTTTTGCAAATCCATGTGAGATGAGATGTTTGGTAAACCGCTCATACCAAGCTCTAGGGGCTTGTTTGAGTCCATAAAAAGCCTTATGAAGTTTAAAAACATGATTTGGAAAATCAGGATTTTCCAAACCGGGAGGTTGTTCAACATAAACTTCTTCTTTCAACCATCCATTTAGAAAAGCACTTTTTACATCCATTTGAAAGAGTTTGAAATTAAGAGCACTTGCAAAAGCTAATAACATACGAATAGATTCAAGCCTAGCAACCGGAGCAAAAGTTTCATCATAGTCAGGTCCTTCAACTTGGCTATAGCCTTTAGCAACAAGTTGACTTTTATTGGTGATAATAACACCATTTTCATCAAGCTTGTTTCTAAAGACCCATTTAGTGCCCACAACGGGTCGGTTTTCCGGTCTTTCGACTAATTCCCAATCCTTGTTGCGTTCAAATTGCTCAAGCTCTAGTTGCATGGATATGATCCAATCACTATCTTTTAGCGCATCTTCTACATTCTTAGGTTCAAATTGACTACCGAACGTATAGTGTGCACAAACATTGTAATTGTTCCTAGTTCTAACTCCCTTTTCAATATCTCCAATGATATTGTCTCTTGGATGATTCGTCAAGTGTTTGTAAGCCTTCTTCTTGTGCAGGAATTTCCAGGATTTCTTCTTCCTCTTCTTCTTCATTTGAACCTGCAATTACCTTACTCGACCCAAAGGGATCGGTTTCATCAAATTTCACATGCATAGATTTTTCTACTTTATGATTTGATTTATTATATACCATATAGGCTCTACTATTTGTTGAATAACCAAGAAAAATTCATTCATTTGATTTAGGCTCAAATTTACCTAAAGGATCTTTGGTACTCAAAATATAGCATTTGCACCCAAAAACTTTGAAATAAGCAATGTTTGGTTTTCTACCCTTCCAAAGTTCATAAGGAGTCTTTTTAATAATAGGTCGAAGTAATACCCGGTTAAGAACGTAGAATGCCGTGTTGACCGCTTCTCCCCAAAAATATTGAGGTAAGTTATGTTCATTCAACATGGTCCTTGACATTTCTTGCAACGTCCTATTCTTCCTTTCAACGACTCCATTTTGTTGAGGTGTTCTAGAAGCCGAAAAGTTGTTTGAAATACCGTGCTCATCACAATATGTCTCAAAATCGGTATTCCGGTATTCTCCTCCTCTATCACTTTTAATAGAGGTTATTTCATAACCTTTCTCATTTTGAATTCTCTTGCACAATTTAACAAACGAATTAAACGCATCATCTTTATTGGCAAGTAATATAGTCCAAGTGTAACGATAAAAATCATCTACAATTACAAATGTAAAACTAGCTCCACCTAGGATTTGAACGTCTACGGGCCCAAATAAATCCATATGTAAGAGTTCAAGTGGCCTTGACGTTAAAAGCATTTTTATGGGTTTAAATGATACTTTATGTTATTTCCCAAGGGAGCATGCATCACAAAAACGAGAAGGGGGTATGCTCATTTTTGGTAGCCCAACAACAAGTTCTTTTGAGTAAAGTTTTCTCAAAAGATCATAACTAGCATGTCCTAGTCTACGGTGCCATAATGTTGAAAATTCAAGTGAAGTAGTAAGACAAGTGATTTTTGAGTTGCTCAAGTCATTGGAATTGAACTTGTATAAGTTTCCATCTCTTTTAGCCTAAAAAATGATTTCATCTTTATTTTGGCCATATAAAAAGCAGGAATTTTCATTAAACTCAATTTTGTGGCCATTGTCACAAAGTTGGCTTATGCTAATTAAATTCAATTTTAGGCCATCAACAAGATAAACATCATTTATTGAAAAATCACTTGAAATACCTATCATACCTTTACCGATGACTTTCTTCCGGGATTTGTCTCCAAGGGTCACGTGTCCATGACTTTTCTCCTTGAGGTGTGTGAACCATCCTCTTGTTCCGGTCATGTGCCTTGAGCATCCACTATCCACAACCCAAGTGGTGTTTTTCACCAAGACAAAGAGAAATTTGCTTTTGACTTAGGTTTGGGGTTCCAATCAATGAATACCCTATGTCGATATACGAGTTTCGTCTTGGTTGGTTCCGGAAGTGGTATATGAACTTTTCGTTTTTCATCATAATAAAAGAAATAGTATCCACCATCATTTCTTTTATTTTCCTGCAAAAGGGGTTTCTTTTGATATCCAATTTTCTTGGATTCCGACCGGTTAGAACCCTTCTTAACCCATTTTAATTTACGCATTTCAACTAACCATTTGTTTGGACACTTTGTCACAATATGGTTAGCTTGCATGCAATAGTGGCAAGCCTTTACTTTTGATTTAGATGTTGAGGCTTGGTTTGATGGGTTAGTTTTTGAGGTATTAAAATGGTTTTTAGCCATGCTCATCAAGTTTGTGCATTGACCATAACCAATACCTTCTTTCGTTAGTTTTGGTTGGTCATCCCACATCTTCATTGAGCTATAGCTATCATAAAACATTTCCAAAGCCCCTCGCTTGGCCTTGTCTTTTTCTTTGATTAAAATTTTAATTTTCTTTTGAAATTCTTCATTTTGGTTTTTAAGCTTTTCAAGATTGAGTTTTAAGTTTTTGTTTTCATCTCGAGAAGTTTCAAGAGTCACTTTGAGTTCCTTTTTCTCCCTAATGGTTCGAAAAAGGTTCTCTTGGCATTCATCAAACGCTTGCCTTAACTCATCAAAAGTAACTTGACTTTCAAAAGAAGTAAATGAGTTTTGGGAACTAACCTCTTCTTCATCGTTTGAGGCCATGAAGCAAGCATTTGCATTTTCTTGTTCTTCCCCTTTTTAAGCTCTTCCTTCTTTTTGAGCTTTGGGCACTCCGGTTTGACGTGTCCTACATTTCCACATTCATAACAAGTTATTTGATTAGATTTACCTTTCTTTGGTGGGAATCTCTTTGAGGATTCGCCCTTTTTCCATTTCATAAATTTTTTGTATCTCTTGAACATGGCAAGTTCCTCATCACTTTCTCCTTCGCTCTCCGGGTGATCATCGATTTTGAGCGCCATGGTCTTCTTGATGATATGAACCTGTTCTTCTTCCTTCATTTTCCTTAAAAGAAGCTCATGAGAGTATAGGCTGCTCCAAATGGTGGAGGTTTCAACATCCGCACATTTGGGCAACAAATTTACAACAAGACTATGCCATTCTCTAGGAAGAGAGAATATAATCTTGGTGTTAATCTCACTAGTAGGATAAACTTTATTTAGCTTACTCAAATTGTTGACAATGATGTTGAATAGTTTGTTCATATCTTGAAGTTTTCATACTCGGATGTTCCTAAAGCTATCTTGGTAGCTTTGGTGTCTTTATCTCCTTCGTGGGTGGCTTCTAGGAGCTTCCATGCTCCCTTTGCAGATTTGCAAGAGCTCACCCTAGCAAACTCATCTTGACCCAAGGCACAAAACAACACGCTTAATGCTTTGGCATTCAAGGAGAGTTTTTTCTTGTCATCAGATGTGAGCTTGTCCATTGGTGTAGGCACTTGATGTTCACCTACAGTTGTCATAGGAACAAACGGAACATGAGTAGTGACTATCCATAAATCATAGTCAATGGATTGAATGAAATTCTCCATTCGCATTTTCCAATAGCCATAGTTATCCCCATTGAAGAATGGTGGCTTGGTAATGCTTTGGGAGTTCATTGAATCCATGTGTCGTAAGAGGAATTAAAAGATAGGTGTGAAAGGATTAAACTTCTTGCTCCGATACCAATTGAAAGTCGGTTTACACCCTAAGAGGGGGATGAATTAGGGTGTTTGAAAGTTTTTCGTAAAAAATAAAAACTTATGCGCAAAGTAATAGCGGAAAAGGAGCAAGAAAAGTATAAAAAATAAAAGTACGACACAAGCGATTTTATACTGGTTCGGGAACTCCTTACTCTAGTACCTCGAGGCTCCTCCTCAAGGATTTAACCTCCACTAATTTGTTTGGCTTCACTAAGAAGACTCAAACGAGGTTTGGCAAACAACCCTTGCCAATAAGAAAACGAGATTTTACTACGGCTATCTCAACCGTTTACAACTGAAGATTTTAAGGCTATCTTCAACCTTACAATGATGATTTAAAGGCCATCCACACCTTTTATAAATCAATAAAGGATTGATGTTGCTTCTCTACCAAAATGATAACAAATATGAATTGGGTAGGAGAAGAACAAAAGATTAAATCAACAACAAAAAAAGCCTATAGGCAAGATATAAAACAATGAATCACAAATGCCCTTGTGTTTGAGTGTATAAAAATAATGAAAGCTTTATACTCAAAAGAGTAAGAAAAATAAGAACAAAGCTTTAAGGAACACTCAAGAATAGAGAAAAAGGCTTTAGATATAATTGGGAAGTCGTTGTGTATAAGGATTATTTAGGAGTACCTTAAACTGGAATATAGTTTAATTATCTTAAACTAGAATTCGTTTAAGGGTTGATAAACATTAAAGTGATTGGCCTTAGACTAAGAATAGTTTGAGGATATTTTTCAATGTTGAATACTGAATATGAATGGATATTGAATGATGATTATTGAATTAAATATTGTGAATATTATGAACGACTAATGAACGTTGAATGTGAATATTAATATTGAATAATGAATGATGAATATTGACTAATGATTATTGAATATCTGAACTGAGCATTATGTGCATGATATCAAATGATTTAATTATGAATTTAGATTTAGTTTATATGGATGTTCGACGCATTAGATATGCATCAGACGGAGGCGAGATAGTCGGAATGGATGTGATGGTTTTGAATTGAAGAATATAAATAAATTATGTTTTTGATTATGATTTTTTAAGCTTCCGCAATATTGAAATCTCTGTACTGTTTATATTATTAAAAATATTATTGTGATAAATAAAAGTGTTTGAAATGTTTTAAAGTTTGACGATTACCAAGTTAATACTTTAGTTCGAAAGGGGATGCAGACCTGGACGGATTAGGGTGTTACAGCTACAGTGTTAATAACGGATACGGTACCCTTCACGGTAGGGTCAGTACCGTCCGGTACCTAGGTACCGTGACCACGGTACAACCTACCGCTAGGGGGTACCGTGTAGGCCTAAAACTTGGTTCGGCTCTGGCAGTACCTAGGTTCAAGCGGTCTGGCCAACCGTCCCAAGCCTACCGACGGTACCCAGGTACCGTTACCACGGTAGGGGGTACCATGTACCACCTAGGTGAAACGTACAGCGATACGTTCACTTGGCTACCAGCGGTACCCTGGTGCCGTGTACATGGTAGCCAGGTACCGTTAGACCTGTGAGATTTTCCAAAACTCGTTTTTTGTGTTCCGTTTTAAAAATAACCCCAACTAAGAATATATTTGACATTTTAGAAATAATTTTTGAGTGAAAGGGCATAAGTAAATCATTAAAATTTATCGTTACCTTTACAAAAATATTTCTAAGCTCGTAGGAGTACATCTCGGTGATGCTAATCAAGGTAATAGAGGTTTGGCGTTTGGTTTATTCCTCCAAATAAGGTTAGTAGCATTTTGAAGACTTATTTGGTACATCAAAACGTTTACGGGGTACAACATTCAAGGCCAACAAGAAGAACAAAAATAAATGAAAAACACATGTAAACAAAAACAAATCTCCACTAACAATCCGAAATCAATGTTAGTTAACACATTGTTAGTTGACACAAATAAAAAAAATCTCCTAGTTGACACAAATATCCACTAACAAATCTCCACTACACAAATCTCCACTAATAATAAAAACAAATCTCCACTAACAAATCTCCTAGTTGACACAAATCAAAACAAATCTCCAGTAACAAATCTCCATTAACATTGTTAGTTGACACATTGTTAGTTGACACAATAAACAAATCTCCACTAACATTCCCAAATCAATGTTAGTTGACACAAATCACCACTAACATTCCCAAATCAATGTTAGTTGACACAAATCTCCACTAACAATCCCAAACAAAAAACAAATCTCCACTAACAATCCCAAAAAACAAATCTCCACTAAACAAAAAACAAATCTCCACTAACAATCCCAAATCAATGTTAGTTGACACAAAGCACTCAAAACCATTGCTATCCCCGGCAACGAAGCCAATTTTTATGCGAAAAGTTTCTAGTGTGCTGTTATGCACCTAAAGTCTCGCTGAAAAAGAGACAAGGTGAAATAGGATGAAATATGGTAAAAGTAAAGAGTGTAGTATTGTGAAAGTAAGGATGTCGTGTCCTCAAGGATAACGTAATTGGTTAGGAATTGAGCACAGAGTATAACTAAACACTAATATCAAATTTCAATATGTGAATCAAGGCCTAAAGGAAGAGAGAAGATGAATGATATTGATGGACAATAAATCCACCAAATGATCCGATCAGAAGAACAGATCGTAAGAAAAGAATTAAGGACAAGAATTCGAGAATTAGGTGTGTACTATTAGCTTTATTTTGCTTGAGTTTCCCCTTTCGGGCCTCTTCTATTTATACCTAGGTTCTACATAGTTAAGGTAATACATAATCAGAGGGAGTCTATCCCGTCAATGACGCAATCCACTTTTTCCGGCTTCGTCTCCGCCATTTCAGCTCCATCTTCTCCTCTAGACTGGCTCTGCCATCCGTTTTGGATTGGAGTTGACCGGGTCTCGAATTATGGGCCGGCCCATGCCTGAGTGTTTCCTGTGCGCCTGACCCAAAGTCTATTAAATGATTCAATTGCGCCGCCCGCTGGATATCGGCCCATCACAAGCCCCCCAACTCCTCATTCCTCGACTGGGCCACGTTGAGGGATGGAGAGTTTACGAGGTCCACGTGGGCGTTCCAGCGCAGATCCGGGCCGTTTCTTGGGTTTCACGTGACGTTTGGGCACGATCTCTACTAATAGGTAATCATGGCAGATCCGGGCCGTTCGTGATTCTGTAGTTACCCGACCCGTTTTCCTTCTGCTCCATGTCAGTTTTCCCCTTTCGGGTCACCATGATTGTCTCTGATTCCGATTCGGCTTCCCCATCGTCCAACTCTCGCCAAGCCGATCAATCGGCCTCTGGCCGTGACCCAAGTCACACTCAACCATCCCAGCCATCGCCGTCGGCCATGCCTGGTCAAAAGCGGCGCCGATTGAGGAAGCAATTCCCTTCCTCTCCCCCAGCACAGGAGGACTCGAGGGTTAGATTGGATGAGAACATCATGGCGTTATGCCATTGCAAAATTACTGACCGGGGGTTCGCCGATGCTACTGACATGGTTGGACCCTCTAACGAGGTCCTAAGACCTACCAGCATCCAAACCTCCTTAGACCCTCCGTCAAGGTTTTTTATAGTCCATCTGGCGTCTCTAAAGAAGGGGCTTCGATTCCCTCTCCACCCGTTGTTGATTGAATTCCTCAACGTGGTGGACCTCCTTCCTTGCCAACTAGTCCCCAACTCTCACCGGTACATTGCCGATTATCTGATCAGATGCAAGGATATAGGGGTGAAGCCTACTCTTGACGACTTCCTGTTCACTTTCAAGCTGACCAAGGGCCATAAGGATTGGGCGTCCTATTCCAATCTTTCCTAGAGGTCCAACAAACTTTTTACTAGCAACAAGAAGGGGTCAACCAAGGACTGGAAGCCCTTCTTTGTCTTTGTCTCGACGGGGCACGAATCTCCTTTCACGGGTTCAGGGCTCCCTTCCTTCCGTCGCATCCCATGTCCCCCATCCGACGCCACCCTCTTGTCCATCACCCGCCAACTCTGCGGCCGAGGGGCCGTTGATATCACGGAGGTGGTGACCGAGGAGTCTCTTGCCGGGATGGGGTTTGAGTTCGTCCAAGATGAGCTTCGTCACCAACCTCAGATGTTAAGGGATATTCCCGGGGGCAATCGGCCCGACCTGCCCAGGGACTTTCCTGAGGGAGGCCTTGACTGTGGTCCTTTTAGTAATTTCCTTCTTTTCCTGTCAGGGATTTCAGTTTTATGTCCTTGGGAGGCTAACCATTTCCCTTGCTTTCAGTTGAGCCACAAGGATTAGAAAGAGAGATGGATGGTGACCTCTTGCTCGGTCGCTTCATGGCGGGGAAGAAGAGGAAGAGAGACGCAACCAAGCAGAGCAAAAGGAAGCGCTCTTCCTCCCGCGGAAAAGATAGTCCTTCTCGTGAGCAGACCGTGATCGTGGTGGAGGACCAGGATGATGCGGCTCTAGAGACGGGTAAAATGGTGATCCACTCCTCACCGCGTTCTCTGAAGCGGGGTGGCGACCTTGCCGGGTTGTCCCAGGGCGTTATCTCGGAGCGACCTCCTCCGTCGCCTGCAGTGACTTACGAGGTGGCGACCGAGGGTCGCTTGACGAGGTTCAGCATTCCTCCCCCGTCTCCAAGTCTAGGGGACGTGCAACTGGAGACCCTAATCACTCTGCCCGCGGAGGACAGGGCTCGCATCTCGGCCGTTTCCGAAGATGACCTCAACAACATGGTTCTTCTGAGACTTACCTAGGTATTTGCCTCAACTCCATTTTCACCACCCCCCCTTCTTACCCTTCTAACCTTTTTGATTTGGTACAGGCCACGCTGGGGATGATTGAGGTAGTCAGCCGGAGACGGGACCGCCAAGCTGCTGTGGACGAAGCGATGAAGGCTGCAGAAGCTAAGCAAAAAGAACCGCAGGAGGAGGTCGCTCGTCTCACAAGAGATTCGGAGGAGAAAGAGGGTTGCTTTGCTTCCCTTGAGGCAGAGAAAGCCTCCTTGGCTTCAGAAATAAGGTCCATTTCTGCCCGCGTAGTTGAGCTGGAAGGGGAGAAGACCGATTTGATTCAGCACTTGGAGACGAAGAGGAGCGACCGAGTCCGTCATGTGGAGGAAGCGATCAAGTCCTACAAGTCTTCTCCTGACTTTGCTGTGGTTGCTATGGAGCGAATGGACAAGGTGGCGGCCGAATGGCTAAAAACCGAGCCTGGGGCCCAATGGATGGTCAAGGAGGGGACGAAGTCCTTCAACTGCGGACTCTTTCGTGCCCAGCAGGTCTTCCGCGACAAGCTAGCCAGGCTCTCCAAAGGATTCTCTCTCCCCGACCTTGGCTTTCCCCCTCCCTGCCGTGCCCTGGCTGAGTTCGGCCCCAGTCCTTACTTGAACGAGGGGAGCTCAAGTGCCTCTGACGAGGAAGAGGAAGAAGCTGCGCTGAACGACCAGGACGGACCGGGTGACCAAAATACAGGGGCCCACCTGGCGACCTCCAAGGCGGGAGGTGCCAGCTCAAGCGTCTAACCACCCTAGTCTTCCCCCTGTTCGCTGTTTTCATCCTGCTTTTCAACTTTGAAAAAACTTATGATTTTTTTTGGGACGCCTTGGTGTTTTGATACAATACTTCCATGTTTGATGTTTGTTTTGCTTCGTTCATCATGTGCCTTCCTTTCCCTGCACTTAATCGCTATCCTCTCTTCTTTAATTTAGTTTAGCTTGTTGACAAGGATGGGCTTTCGGCTTGGGCCTGTATCCCATCTTTGGCCCAACCGCACATCTAGGCCTAGCCTCGGGACTTGCTGGTGTGCCGCCCAATTGACCCACTGCCCTTAGCAGTCTTTGATTGGACCTTTGCGTGGCTCAAAGTTGCTTTATCGGTTCAGCTGCCCTGGGACTTGACCGTCCCTTTGGTTTCTTCACCCGGGGCTATTTATAAGCCCCCAGTCTTCGTTCAACTCCATCATCAAACACTTTCCCTTTCTCCATTTTTGTCATGTCTGAAGAAATTCCCACTTCTCTGAATATCTCCGATGGGCCGGCCTCTTCTTCGCCGGAGCCTGCCTCTTCCCCCAAATCTGTTAACTCCAATGACTGGGGGGGGCTAGACCCCTATAAATTCTGCCGCTGGCTGCCCCGCTGGCAATGGCCCTCGGTGAAACCGCCGCCAATACCGCCAAATCCTTATGACGATTTTAGTGCGGCGTACAAGGCGCTTTCAGCCAACCGTCTGCCAAACGGACGGATTGACTGGGATGCCCCATGCCCCCTCCACTCGTTGCAGTGCATGGCTTGGGAGAGTGTGCAGAATGAGTACTTGCCTCTCTTAGAGCATGAGGGAGCATATTAAACAAGTTTGGAATAGTGGACAAGCGAGAGTCGCACCAACTCACCGGTATGGCCTAAAGATGAGGTTGTGGTGGGGGAAGAACTGGATTCTTCCACACCACGCCCTGCTGGTCGCTCACCACCCCGGAAGGCTCCTAGGCGATCTGGAGTAGCTCGAGCGGCCTCAGGGTCTTCATCCTCATCTAGGTGATGCCGATTGGGGCTCACAGGAAAGAGAGTGGTCGCTCTAGACGGTCAGTGATCGGAGTTCTGTCGGCCTATACAGCTGCAGAACTACCCTTCAACCTTGCCTTTTCCCCTGTATTCATCATCCTTTCCGGGCTTCAGCCGCACAAAGCTTTGGATATTTCCTTTTTTTTGTATGAGAAATGTGTTGGAACACACTTTGTACGATAAACTAAAGTCGTGTTCATTTCTAACAGGTTTTGATAATTACCAAACCGCCGTGGATATGAAGAGTTTCGTTGAATAACTCAAGGCGTGAAGAATGGCTTGGAACAAGACCAAAAAGACTCAAGGACAAGATCAAGAATTGAAGACTTAGTCGAGTCGGTCTTTTGTGATCAAAACCGACAATAAATTCAAGTCTCGGTTCTCAAANACCTGAGTGTCCCGAGTAAAGTCTATTTTGCAATGTGCAAGGATATGCATAACGGGGATGGCAAACCGGAGATGGGAAAAACGAGTGCCATCGCCCTGCTGGTCGCTCACCACCCCGGAAGGCTCCTAGGCGATCTGGAGTAGCTCGAGCGGCCTCAGGGTCTTCATCCTCATCTAGGTGATGCCGATTGGGGCTCACAGGAAAGAGAGTGGTCGCTCTGGACGGTCAGTGATCGGAGTTCTGTCGGCCTATACAGCTGCAGAACTACCCTTCAACCTTGCCTTTTCCCCTGTATTCATCATCCTTTCCGGGCTTCAGCCGCACAAAGCTTTGGATATTTCCTTTTTTTTGTATGAGAAATGTGTTGGAACACACTTTGTACGATAAACTAAAGTCGTGTTCATTTCTAACAGGTTTTGATAATTACCAAACCGCCGTGGATATGAAGAGTTTCGTTGAATAACTCAAGGCGTGAAGAATGGCTTGGAACAAGACCAAAAAGACTCAAGGACAAGATCAAGAATTTAAGACTTAGTCGAGTCGGTCTTTTGTGATCAAAACCGACAATAAATTCAAGTCTCGGTTTTCAAAGAGTCAAAATAATTTTTACAAATCATAAAATATATTTTGTGCATCAAAATAAATATTTCTGATGATTTTTTTATTGATTAAAATCCCTGGTCCTTGCTCGGAACCTAAACCACCTAAGTCAGCGTTCGGCGTTCGGCTTTCGGCGTTCGGTTTTTGGCGCCCGAACCAACTCCGTGGTTTTCAATATTTTAAACCCTGGTTTTACCTCTGAGAATTTTTAAAATGTTCCCAAATAATGATTTTATAAAAACCACTTTTGTATCTTGGTCAGTCGGTCTAACACGTGAAAAATGGTCAAAACCGTATGCACGTGATGTACGACCTTGGAGACTTGGTTTTTACCGAACAAGTCTTGTTTTCACTATTTTATTCCATATACAATGTTTTTCAAACTTGGTTTTTACTTTTGGGAACACTTCGTTTTTGGACCTCGGTTTTTCAAAACGGGTTTCAGCTGGCTAGACTTTAGCTGGGTGATAATCGATTATCACCTTAGTGACAATCGACTATCAGCCCCTGCAGCTTTGAACTTCCAAAGTTCTGAAGCACGCAATAATCGATTATCACTTATGTAATAATCGATTATCAGTCTTTGCAGCCAAAACCCAGAATCTTCTGAGAGGACCAATAATCGATTATCACTTGTTGACAATCGATTATCTGGGTTACCGTTGTCCTCCAACGGATAGAATTTTAAATTTTTGGACAAAGAATCTTTTGACAATCGATTATCAAGCTTGGATAATTGACTATCAGCCTGTGTCTCTGAAAAATTTGTCTTCATCCTGTTGGAAACTCTAGCAACGGGTTTATCCCATTTTGAGCTATAAAATGGCACCCAAATCCTCTCATTTTGCACACAATTCTTCAACATTTTCAATACTCTTTCATTGTATAAACATTCCTATTTTTCTTAGCTATTTGAGAGCCAATTCTTGAAGAAATTGTCGTGTTCTTGAGCATTTACTAGTTCACTCATATCTACTCTTTGTGAGAGTTTTATTCCTGAGT